TATATATAAAAAATTTTAATAGAACAAATTGGGTTAAATTGCCATCCCCAGTACTTTTAATTTAATATAATAGTTTAATATAAACTAATATAAACATAAAACAAAAAACCGGACGGACAGACGGACAGACGGACAGACGGATAGACGGACAGACAGATAGCAAACGATTTAAATAAAAAAAATAATAAGTACTGGGTTACTTAACTGTAGGGCAAAAGTATGGAGAAAATTAATAGCTTTATTACTTCTGACAAATATTTATTTATTTTAACACACATTTAGTTTTTTAAACAGAACAAAACTTTGTGTTTTAACTGCCAAATTCTCAGTACTGTGATTTATGCAATGCATGGAAATGGGAATCACTGTTGTGCTCTATAAGGATTTCAGATATTAATGGACATTTCAAAATACTCAAGAATATAAAACAAAACAGGATACCTTCTTCTGTAAAACACAGGCTTTTCCTCTCCTGTATTTCGTAGAGAACTGGAAATGGAAAGATGATGAGAGCAGTGAGATGACATGGAAATAAACTACTATGACTATAATAAGAGTCTCTGAAAGGTAAAAGCGAAACTAGTAAAGTATGGAATTGCTTCTCAAAAAAAGAGTGAATGCAAATGAGTAACAGAGGGAAGAACGAGGTGAGAATGACTGCAAAAGCATGCAAAGGCATGAGGGTGTCACATGATGGAGAAGTGTGAGCGGCGTCATTCTCAGAGCAAGGCATGTTTTGGTGTGTTGTGTTTAAGGTGCTAATGCATTAGCATTCAGTGTGTACTGAGAGAGTGTGAATTCAGTGCCTCAAAACCTGAAAACCCAAATACATTTTGGGCAGTCGTCTGTAATAAGATGTACATTTCCATCATATTCATTTACTATATTGCTGTAGCACTTACAAATGGATTACAAACCCCTTATTTAAAAAGATTTGGTAACACTTTACTTATTTACACACACATATACATTTACACTACCATTTAAAAAGTTTTGGGGTCAGGAATTTTGTTTAAATAAATGAATACTTCTATCTAGCAAGAATGCATTCAAATGATCAGAAGACATTTATAATGCTAAAAGATTTCTATTTCAAATAAATGCTGCTCTATTGAATTTTCTATTTATGAAAAAAAAAATTGTATCACATTTCCACAAAAATATTAGTCTACACATCCATTTCAAAATGTATAATTATAAATGAAAATGTTTCTTGAGCAGCAAATCAGCATATTAGAATGATTTCTGAAGGATCATGTGACACTGAAGAGTAAAAAGTCAGCATTTCCATCACAGAAATAAATTGCATTTTAAAATATATTAAAATTGAAAACAGGTATTTCAAACTAAAATAATATTTCACAATTTTACTGATTTTTGCTGTATTTTTAAAACAAATAAATACAGCCTCGGTGAGCATAAGAGACATTTTACAAACGCATAAAAAAAAAAGAATAAAAAAATCTCACCGACCCCAAAACTTTGAATTGTAGTCTGTCTGTCTATCTTTTGTTAGTACCATTAAGATGTCTTGCATTGCAACATTATGACAACTAAGCACACCTCAATAAAAATAGACATAATATTTTTATTAAGAACTATCTTATAATATATTGTTATCATTATTAATTAAAGCCAGTACAATAAATACTACTATGATGTTTAAACTAGTGCTGTCAAACGATTAATCGCATCCGAAATAAAGTTTTTGTTTACATAATATATGTGTACTGTGTATATTTATTATGTATATATAAATACACACACAGAGTATATATTTTAACAAATATTTACATGTATATACATTTATATATTTATATTATACATAAATATATTTAATATATAAACAACATATTTTTCTTAAATATATATATGCATGTGTGTGTATTTATATATACATAATAAATATACACAGTACACACATATATTATGTGAACAAAAACTTTTATGTTGGATGCCATTAATCGCGATTAATCGTTTGACAGTACTAGTTTAAATATACAATTTTCCAAAAAATTTATAATTTATATATTAAATAATCTTTTATTTTAAATAATGTATTTTTCACAAAGTAGAAAATATGAATGGTCCTAATAAGAACCATGATCTCAGATACCTGCGCTGGTTCATCTCTTCTTCCCCTCCCTGGTTCTTCCCAGGACCCCAGCTGTGTCTGCGGAAGGGAGAGAGCGAGCGTACGGTGGAGCGGAAGAGAGAGGCGGGCAGCGGCACCTCTGTTAAGCTGTCTTTGGCCTCGTCTTCCGCCTCCCCTCCGTGCCGCACCTCCTCTGAGCTCTCGGCCGAGGAGCTGGGATGCTCGTCTGTGGAGGAGCAGGAGACGGACACCTCGCTCGTGCTGTCGCCTCCCCCTACTGCCTCCTGCCCCGGAGCAAGAAACAATCAGACACAAGTTAACAAATATTGTTTTGTTCAGACAGATTAAAAATGACTCTGCAAAGTACTACAGTACTATAAAACCTGGATGTGTCTCGTCAATGATAAATAGAAAGTGTGCAAAAGAAGAAAAATGGTTCAACTTAAACAACTCAAGCAGTTATTAGAGGTCTGCTACCCGAAATACTTTCGGGTCGGGTTCGGGTTAATGTTTAATGAATAGCTTCGGGTCGGGCTCGGGTTTTCCCTTTTTGCACAAATAGGTACATTATTTTGCTCTGTTACTGGCCAAACTAACCTTGAACAAACAAACAAACAAAAATATATGCAACATGAAGCAACTGCACAAAACAAAAACATCAGACGGGCTGAATGAATATTTTATTATTACTCTTTATTATTATTATTATTAGCGTTTTATTACCTTAATTATATGCATGTCTGCACTATGACTGTAGGCTGTACTGGAAGCTCCTGACACCAAGACGAATTCCCTGTGTGTGTAACACACTTGGCAATAAAGCTCTGTCTGATTCTGATGGAAATGCAAATTCAATCTCTGAAACCAGGTGTCACTTATAGAACATAGCAGCGTTTCCTTGGTTATTGCTGTACGTAGCGGTGCACTTATTAACACTCCTTTAATATGTATTTAACTAAGGTAAGAGGAACAAGAAAATGCCATCGAAACTTTTCTGAAGACAGTCAGTTCTCCTCAGAAATACATCCATATTAACCCCCACCCTAATTCCTAATTTTCTTTCAGTATTTCGAGCATCGCAAACAATGAATTTGTTCTGTCTGGCAGGGGCGCGGGAAGATGTTTTAGGTTGGGGGTGCTATATGCTATATGAGCGTGGCGGGGATAGAGGCTATTTACACTTAGTGAAAATAGCAGTATTTTTTTGTGATATCATATGCCATTTACACTAACTGCAAATAGCTATGGATTATATTTATAGCCACTATGTTAAAATAGCAGGGTATTCTGCTAATTCCTTATTCCAAATAGTGGCAATTATCTGCACCTCAGCATTGTAATACATTATAAACAGTATGCAATAACTTATTGAGTGTAAATTTTAATTTTAATTCAAATTATTAAATGGATGCCAGTATTAGGACAAAAGCCCTCCCTACACCTACCCTAACCGATACTTTATTTTCAACTTTTTAATGATTTCCTTCCTTTTTATTAAAAATAGATGCTTTTCTGATGTTATTTGAAATTTGAAAAGGGAGAAAAAAAAAGTTCGCCAAAAGGCAGATTCGAACCCGGGTTGATCGCGTAAAAAAGTATGACACAAACTTTACCATCTGCGCCACTGAATCTGATGATTTATAACCGTCTTTTGTAATGATGACTAGCCCAATCACAAATGGAATTAAAGTAAGCCTCTGCCAACAAGGCGGGCTATTTGCACTTAGTGTAAATAGACACTCCGATTTTTTTTTTTTTTATTCCCAACAGTTAATCAGTTAAAGTTGCCCACAGAAAAAACAGGGGGTGCTGCTGCAACACCCAGCACACCCACTTCCCGCGCCTATGCTGTCTGTCTGGTACAGTATTTTCTCTGCTTGCGCGACTACTCTCTCCTCTTTGTGTCCGTCTTCAGTGCATCTGTCTTACAGATAATATATCATGATCATTACATTTGTGTTACCAAAGTGCAACCTGCCCGCGTTGTTTTTAACCTGGTCGTTTTTGATTACTGTCAGTTTAAATGCCGGCGTTGCCAGATATTGAAAAACAAGCAAAACAATCTAAAAATAAATAAACCGCAATGAGTCCAAATCTTGAGTTATGAGTTAATATAAAGATATCGCTGTCCCTAACTTGCAATCTCCCACTTTATTCACTTCCTAAATTTAGAGAGAAAAAAATCCATAGACGCTTATATTACGTGTATCTGGCAACACGACTGAGGCTGAGTCTCAATCACAACTCCCTCAAGGGACGAGGCCATGTAACTTTCACGATGATTTTTTTTTAAACCCACATAACTTGCTGAAATACTTCTGTGGCCGCCTCATCTACCTCAGCCATGCTGATCAGGACCAGATCAGGACCTGTCCCGATGACCCTGATTGCGCCTGACCTGCCTTCCATTTCCACTATACTCTCTCTCACACATACATACATTCTTCTCTTACATACACATATTTTCTTCAGACATACATACATTCTATATATATATATATATTTTGAATATATGAATATTTTTTTGAACTTTGCTCTTCCTCACATTTCATCTATAACACTCACTCATGTTTGACTCCTACGGTCCACTGCAACTATACTGTAAGAGTCTGTTTCCTCTCAGACTGCTGTCTGTCACTTTAAAGTGAAAAAGTATGTCACTGAATCATCAGCAGGGTGAAATGAGTCTGCTAGACCGACCAAGACGTCTACACACCAACACACACTCACAGACTCCTTATTTTCATCCATCCAGGCAAACCGTAACCTATGATCTCACACACCTAAACTTAAAGCAGTCGTGAGGTTTTGATGAGTCTATTGTGTCAAGCGCTGGTGCCATGAGAGACAAGATGAAGAGGATTTGAGCTTCTGACACACACTGAGGTTTTTGTCAGTGCTCTGGGGGGATGAAAGCCCTTTATTCATGTGCCCCTGAAACAGCTTCTATTGAGCATGTGTGCGAGGAAGCAGAGGGGGTGGTTTATAAGCATGTGTGTGTGAGCGTGCAAGAGCTTTAAAAGGGTTCTAGAGAACTTATAACCACGTGACCCAGTGGGAAAAAAACCCTCTGGTGGATTTTAACATTTAAGTGTCCTAAAAAAAACCCCAGAACTGGTGTCACATGAACACAAAAATGACCAATTCGGCGTGCATCATCGGATATGTATCAGAATTCTGAATTTCTTCTCTGCATTATGTGGTTAATAGTGTTTTTTGCACTAATTTATTTAAAGCAGGGGTTTATAACTGGGGTTCACAAATGGGTGCAAGTTGGGCCACAGAATCATTCAGAGAAAAACATTTATTAATTAATATATACAATTAAATTAAATTATTGAATTTAATTAAAAGTAAATAAATACATACATACATACATACTGAACTTCCCATTATTACTAATGTATTCTTTATTCTAAAGACTGGTCCAAAATCGTGATATTAATCACAACTATTTTATTCCATTGTTTTATTGTTTTATATCTAGTGGTACTGTAACGCTGAGTAGAAATAAATAAAATGCTAGAAATATGTTTTAAAATATTATTTGGAAAACTTTTCATATACAGTATAGTCCTTGCAAAAGGATCATCATATTATCAAAAAACATTTGATAAGAAATCGCTTTTATTATTCCTCATACTTAAAGTTAGGGACTTTTTAAAGCTCTTATGCATGAGTCATCCTGCACATTCGTGCAGACATGGATGAAACGTCAAATCATGCAGCTTGTTGTGCTCTATTATTTTTTAAGTGAGCAGACTAACAATTTTTCCTGGTGGACCAGGAAAATAAAATAAAAGAAAGAAATAAAAAGAAAGAAAAGAAAAGAAAATAATAAATCTAAAAATTAAATAAAATATAAAATTTAATAAATTAAAATTAAAAATAAAATAAAATAATATATATAAAAAATAAAATAAAATAATACTCAAGCAGTAAGCAACCACATAATGCCCAATGTGGCAAACAACTCACACTTCTTCAGAAAAGGTGCAAATCTTTCTCTCACCTTTCTGAAGATGTTGTCTTCTCCAGTGTCAGGGCTGAGAAATCCATCTGTATCGCTTCCCGAGTCTCGAAATGTGACCGTTTCTGAATTGCAAGTGTGAAACTCTGGATACTGTGAACTCTCTGCAACAAACACACACAGTTTTACACAATGACAGACAAATGTACAGCTACTACAAAAAGCTGTGCTAAAAAATAGCTTGTTTATTCAGTTAAAATCTGTCACAAAAAGTCTCCAAAGAAGTTCTCTTACTTAAACAAAACATGCGATTTCCTCTTCAGAACAGATCTTTGTACAACAGCACATGTATTCACGACAGCGAAGTCTGACAATCTTCATAAGAAAAGTATCTGAGGCATCTGTCAGTACCGTACCGTCGCTTGGGTAACAAAACCATATCACGTGGGAGACAAAACCATCATGATAAACCTCAACAGATTCCATCACCTAGAAAAATACCGCCCGTTTCCCTCTCTCTCTCGCTTTCACTTTCTTCTAGTCTTTCAAAGTGCAACACACTCTCTGTATAAGCTTAGAGTAAGTGAAGAGAGCGACTGTGAAGGCTGGGATCAGCACTCGGAGATCTGTCATGAGAGTGTGAGCTTTGTCAACTGTCACACAACACACAGGTGGCTCCATGTTTTGGGATGTGAAGGAGGGGCCTCGCTGGGACAGCTGCCCTTTCTCTACGCGTGTGTGCTTTCAATGAACCAATGCTGGAGTAAAAGCAAACGTCATTACCTCAGCTGCAGATAAACAACTGACAACATAAACACAGGTCATGACAGGCCTCTGAGAAGAAAGTCAGCATATCGTATCTATAGATAATCCCAGTTATATTTCAGTATTTACAGTATGTTTTTCATATGAGTCATCGTAATTTTTTAGATGTTAAAAAAATGTCTCCTGTTCCAATACTTGGAAACTGTAAACACTGGCTCTGCTGTGCTTTTAAATATAGAAAAATAAAATAAAATAAAATAATAAAATAAAATAAAATACTTTTTGCATGTTAATGAAAATAGAAAAGTAAAAAATTAAAAGAACAATATTTTTAGCATATTAGTAAAAATGAAAATTAAAAATATTTAAACAAAAATGTAAATTAAATGTTTAAAATATTTATTATATTTTTAGGATGGTTTTAAAAACATTGTACTGTGATGAATCTGGAACCATGAAACTAGAATGTCATTGTCAAAATACAATTTCTCCTGTTCCAGTACCAGTTTACTGTGTAGAGACGTGCTGAAATCGCGTTTGGTCTCGTACTGTATCGAGTACCTTGTCAGTGTTGTGCGCTTTGCTTGAGTTTTGTTAGACGAATATAAAAAGCTTAGTATACCGCGGCAGCGGTCGCGGCAGCCCTTGTGTGAAGCTCTCCTCGTGTGAAGACTGAAGAGTGTAAAGACCATTGACTCTACCGTTCGACTCCACCGAGCAGGGACACCGGCAAGGCCCGTAAGTATCGCTTCTGAATCATTCTCTTTCCTACTACTTGTTCCCCTTCTGTTTTCAGTTTTTATAACCAATTCTTACTATGTGTTTCCAGATCCCTACTACCTCTACTACTCGCAAACCATGCATCACACACTGCAGGCAGCGCAATCCTAACAACCTGCGCACTTTGCCTATGTCTACTTATACACTACTTTCTTTTTCTATTGGTCTCTGGAATTGCCAGTCTGCTGTAAACAAAGCAGATTTCATTACATCTATTACTAGTCATTCAAGACTAAACCTCATGGCCCTGACAGAGACGTGGATCAAACCAGAGGACAATGCTACACCTGCAGCACTCTCAAATAATTTATCTTTTTCCCACTCCCCCTGTCTGACTGGAAGAGGTGGAGGTACTGGTCTGCTTAACTCTACACTGCAAAAAATGCTTTTCTTACTTAGATTTTTTTCTTGTTTCCAGCCTAAATATCTAAAAAAATATATATATTTTGAGATATATTAGGATTTTCTAAACAAGTAAAAATTATTGTCTTGTTTTCAGAAAAAAATAGTCAAAATTAAGTTTTTGCTTAGAACAAGCAAAATAATCTGCCAAAGGGGTAAGCAAAATAATCTTATTTCAAACAGAAAACAATATTATTTTGCTTATCACACTGGCAGATTATTTTGCTTGTTTCAAGCAAAAACTCACTTAATTTTCACTAGTTTTTTCTGAAAACAAGACAATTTTTTGTTCATTTAAACAAGACAAAAAAATCTAAGTAAGAAAAGCATTTTTCTTGCAGTGTAATGATTGGAAATTTAATCCTTTACCATTTCTGAGTATCAACAGCTCATTTGAATCACATTCAGCCACTATTACCCACCCTCTTAAAATCCATTTTATAGTTGTTTATTGACCCCCAGGACCACTAGGTAACTTCGTGGAAGAATTAGATGTACTGCTCTCAAACTTTCCTGAGGATGGTAGTCCCCTAGTTATGCTTGGAGACTTCAACATCCACCTAGAAAAACCTCAGGCTGCAGACTTCCACACTCTGCTTGCTTCTTTTGATCTCAAGCGAGTATTAACTATGGCTACTCACAAATCAGGCAACCAACTAGACCTTATTTACACACGACACTGCTCCACTGATCATATGCTGGTTACGCCACTGCACACCTCGGATCACTTCCTCCTCACTCTTAACCTCAACATGGTTCCTGACACAACACATAACCCTACACATGTCACTTTTTGACGTAACCTACGCTCTCTCTCACCCTCTCGGCTATTTGCTATGGTTTCATCTTTGCTTCCTTCCCCTGAACAGTTATCATCTCTTGATGTTAACTGTGCTACTGATACTTTCTGTTCCACTCTTACATCTTGTTTAGACACTGTCTGCCCCATGTCTTCAAGGCCAGCTCGTACCACCTCTTCTGCCCCTTGGCTATCTGATGTTCTCCGTGAGAATCGTTCTAAGCTCAGAGCTGCAGAAAGAGTATGGCGCAAATCACAAAGTCCTACTAACCTTAATGTATATCGATCACTCCTCTCTTCATTCTCTGCTTCCGGGCATTCTCTGCTTCCGGCTTCGCTACCGTTTGGACGTTCTTGCTTACTGTTCTGTGCTTTGCTTCCTATTTCTGTACTTTTCTCTGATTTTTCTAAGATTTTTACTTCAGCAGATCAGCACAGTGCTCAAACAACACATTTTTGGCACAAACACTAAAACTAAAAACTCTTTGGGACTGGAATAATACCACAAAAAAGAAGACGTTGCCTCCCACTGCCAGCAGCTTACATTCCGGAAAAGGGAAAACACAACTGTCTACATTCAAAGAGAAAAGAGAAATAAAATGCCTTCTGTTAAATCTACTTGCTGCATGAACTGCCACAAACTTCTACAAAGGATTGCGGTTCTTGAAACAAAGTTACTTGCTGGACTTCCAAAACAGGCAGAACACTCAGCTGTCAGCCTGTGAGTCCCATGAATCTAGTCAATCTCAACAGTTTATACCAAGTGTAGAGGAACAAGCTGAAACTGATTGTCACACTAATCTATAGCACAAACAGGGAGTGAGACCCAAAGGCAGTAGAGACATCAGATTGTCACAAGTTTCTCGTATTGCTGCCGTAGCATCCTCTACCCCAGATTCGGCTATGACAAGGCTTGTGAATACTGGTATTCTCCCACCCCCTATACATCTTGAGAACAGATTTGAAGCATTAATGAATGCGGTTAAGGAATCCCCAAATGTGATTAAACATGGATCATGCTGTCAGCCAGCAGCTAACATCGCTACTAACAGGCGCTCCAGGTCGAGCAGACAGCGGCATTCAGCTCAGAGCGCAGCCGAGCCCAGGACTCTGATAGTGGGTGACTTTTATCAGAAACATCAGTAGCAGAAATACAACAACATACTGCCTTCCGCAAGCAACCGTTTATGATGTAAACAAGGAACTTCGGAAAATTCTAATGAAGCACAAGACTGCGAATCGACAAACTAATATTGCTGTTGAGACTAAATGCAATGCCATCAAGTTAGCATTTTTAAACATTTGCTCACTAAAAAATAAATCATTTCTAATCAATGACTTAACCACAAACAACCTGGATTTTATGTTTCTTAAGGAAACATGACTAGAAGACAGCTGCAGTGCAACGGTCCTCAATGAAACAGCCCCTCTTAACTTTACTTTCATGAGTGTCTGCAGGACTGTTAGGGGAGGTGGAGGTGTAGCTGCTCTATTTAAAGATGTCTATCAATGGAAGCGTCATTTGGTCAGTACTTGTCTTTTGAATATTTAGGGATTGTGTTGAAAGGTGCTCCACGCATTCTGTTTATCATTATTTACAGGCCTCCAAAATACTCTCCAGCCTTTGTTGAAGAGTTCACAGAAATGCTATCAATGATTTCCTCAGAGTTTGACTGTTTTGCTATTGCAGGGGATTTTAATATTCACATAGATTATGCAGAAAACAAAACTACAAAATAAATAACTGTTTTAAACACTTTTAACCTGATTCAGCATGTGCATGAGCCTACACACAATCGTGGACATACGTTAGATTTACTCATCAGTAGAGGTCTAAACATTTCATCCATTGTTATTAAGGATGTAGCAGTATCTGATCACTTCTGTATTTTCTTTGATATATTGATCTCTGCTACCACTGAATCTAGATCTGTCTCTGTCAGAAAGAGATGCATTAACGAAAACACCAGTGTGTTATTTATGGAGGCTATATCTTTAACACCAAGCATTTCTGCACTCTGTTGATCTTCTCCTTGATACCTTTAACTCAAAAGTTAAGAATGTTATTGATGATATTGCTCCTGTAAGTCAGTAAGAAGTCTGGCAGACAGAAATCAGCTTGGAGAAAATCAACAGCAGTTCAGAGTATGAAAAGACAATGCAGAAAAGCTGAGCGGATGTGGCGGAAGATGAAACTTGAAATTCACTATAGCATCTATAAAGACAGCCTTCGTGTCTCCCTCATTTTCCTCCCTCATTTGTCCTCCTCCTCCCCCTCCTTCATCAACTCTTAACAGCTGATGACTTTGCCACATTCGTCATTAATAAAATTACAAACCTCAGTGCACAATTTGCCACACCACAAACTGTCAAACACATCTTACCAGCAAACATACACTCGTTTTCATCCTTCTCTCCACTCTCTGAGGCAGAAGTCTCTAAACTCATCCTTTCCAATCATCCTACTACTTGACCGCTTGATCCTATTCCAGCTCATCTCCTACAAGCCATTTCTCCTGCCGTTGTACCTGCACTCACTCACATCGTTAACACATCCCTTCACACTGGTGTTTTTCCCTCAACATTTAAACAGGCTTGTATAACCCCACTTCTTAAGAAACCCACTCTTAACCCAACTCTTTTAGAGAACTACAGACCAGTTTCCCTTCTACCTTTCATTGCAAAAACACTTGAACGAGTTGTGCTCAACCAAGTCTCAGCCTTTCTCACACAGAACAACCTCCTGGACAGCAACCAATCTGGCTTCAGAAGTGGACATTCGACCGAGACAGCCTTGCTTTCAGTTGTTGAAGCCTTAAGACTGGCAAGAGCAGCTTCCAAATCTTCTATACTTATATTGCTGGATCTGTCTGCTGCTTTTGATATGGTGAACCACCAG